GGGAGAAAAGAGAGAGAGAGAGAGAGAGAGAGAGAGAGAGAGAGAGAGAGAGAGAGAGGTGCCCTGAGTGACCTCTGGCTGCTTCGGTTTCTCTGGGTGAAATCAAGCTGACTTCAGCCAGACGCGCTCACATTCCACGTGCAGTTTACTGACACATGCCAGATGTCCTCTGTATCACTCTCTGTAACACTGAATCCATCACAATTACAACCTTTAACAGATCAGAACGGTAGCAAAGAAAAATATGAGGTCTTTGAGCTCTGGTGATGGGGTGAAACATACACAAAACAAAAACGTATAAAAGTTTGATTCCCAGCACCAATGAATGACTCAGTGCAGTGCATTTGGGGTCTGACTTTTCAGAGAACAAGTAGTGTCATATTAGATATATAAATATTATTAAACTTTAAAAAACTGAACTACAAAATTACTAATACTAAAACTGAAATTAAAATAAATCTATATAGAAATATTTGTATAAAAATATATTTAAAAATATAAAAACAAATAAATTAACAAAAGCACAATACAAAATTAATAAAACTTTGACTAAAATAAAAAAGCTATATATAAAACTGTATATAAATAATACTAAAATAACACTGGTTCAGAATGACAATGCTCTATTGAAAATGTTCTAAAATAACATTTAAAAAAAAGCAAATCTGATTTACTATGAGGCATGTACAATGGAAGTGAATTGGGCCAATAATATGTATTGTTTCAATAATATAGTCATAAGGCAACAGATGTGTACTAACATGATTTTAGCATGGAAAAAAGTTACTTACTAAACTAAAGCTACCATGATAACCAGCACCATAAACCTTAAAATTGACTGTTAAAAAATAATATTTAAAGAGTTTTACAGCTTTTAAGAGAGTTTAAGCTTTAAAAAGAAGAATTAATGTAAGTGCTTTTACAAAAATTTTTTTTTTTTTTTTAAGTTCCATTGTAAGTAGCCCACCATAATAACAAAACGATGGAAGAAATGATTCATGGTAATCAACATTAGGCCACAAACATTGTTGATTGAGCCTAACCCTCTACTGAACCTGGAAAATTCATGCAAAACAGCATTTTCTGTTAGACAGTCTAAAATGCGACTAGACTAACATTAGTCTTATGGGATATTCGCTAGCTACCCAGTAGCCCTGTGAAGCATTCTTTTGTTGCTTCTGTTTGCTCAGTATTCAACAGAGCAAAGAAGAGAGACAAAGACTGATGAGGAGCGCACTTCAAAGTGCCTTTCATGCCAGACCCTCCTATTTCTCTTTCTCTGGCCTGAAAGTGAGGGCTGGGACTCTGTCAGGCCATGCCATTCAAGCAGGATACAACAGGGGAAGGAGGAAGTCAAAATCGCCCCTGATTTTTTATATATTCCCTATATAACCATGTATGTGACAAATAAAAAATCTTGAATCTTGAATCTTGATTACCAGGACAAAATGCTCTCACCCCCTCTTCTCTCTGCGTCCTCCAGTTTGGCTCTGACACATCCACTGGCCTCAAGTGTGTATCTAGATTTCGGCAAACATAATCATGACTGCAACCTCAACATTGTACAATCAAGTGCTTAAAACACTTCCGATGACAGCTCTGCTAGCCTCATGGCCACAATCATAATAATAAAGTTTCAATTAAATGGACACAACTAACTTGAGTCTGTTTAGTGAGGAGTAATATGGTGCTGTCTCAATGTTATGCCACCATAAACTGCAAACTCAGGGTCGAAATTTATGTCTTCTTCCTTTAAGTACTAACTCACATTCACACAGGTTAAGGTTAAAGATATGAGTAGGGTTTGGGTTAGTCACTGCAGGGCTCCAAATAAACACAGTGTATGAATACTGCATGCAAATCTGATGTTTTGCTGAACAAGGGTTACCATTTATCTTCACACTGCCCATACAATCTCCCAATTATTTTCCACTGTTATGAGACACTTCTTTTAATGTTAGTAAAAACTTTGCTTAAAAAAAAGAAAGAAAAAAATAAACTTTGAGTCTTCTTGCTCCCAAATTGTTTTAGCTTAACCATTCACAAACACCTTTGTGTGGACATGAACAGATATGCTCATTTATGGTGGATATTTAATTTTTTTAAATTATCCAAATTTAATACAGACAGACATATATACCAGTTGTCGAATTCAGATTTCTACTTTGAACACAGTCATTGTTATTGCAACTGCTATTAATTGCAGTTATGTGTAAAATGAATAACAAATGCCATTAAAAAAATACATCATAAAACACTAAACTAAAAGCTTAAAGTGATGTCAAAGTTACAACCTATTAGTGCTGGGCGGTGTGAGCAAAAATTTATATCACGGTATTTTTCAAAATTATACCGGTTTCACGGTACATGACGGCATTTTTTTTTTTCATGCATGACCAGGTGTTAACCATATTTTCTACTGATTGAGAGAGGAAATACTGCAGTATATTGACTTAGAATGCCCTACTTTACTGTCATGATGAGTGAATATGGTCAAAAAATACCACACTAAATAGTGACTAAACACGACCCCATGCATGACCGGGTGTTAACCATATTTTGTACTGATTGAGAGAGGAAATACTGCAGTATATTGACTTAGAATGCCCTACTTTACTGTCATGATGAGTGAATATGGTCAAAAAATACCACACTAAATAGTGACTAAACACGACCCCATTAACCAGGAGTCACTCTCATTTACAGTGGGTACGGAAAGTATTCAGACCCCCTTAAATTTTTCACTCTTTGTTATATTGCAGCCATTTGCTAAAATCATTTAAGTTAATTTTTTTTTCCTCATTAATGTACACACAGCAGCACCCCATACTGACAGAAAAACACAGAATCGTTGACATTTTTGCAGATTTATTAAAAAAGAAAAACTGAAATATCACATGGTCCTAAGTATTCAGACCCTTTGCTCAGTATTTAGTAGAAGCACCCTTTTGATCTAATACAAAAGACAGTATAAGTCATTATAATCCGTAATTATGTCCCCATTGGATGCAACAAATGCCTCGTTTATAATGGGTGTTTTTGTCTCGTAGCTCCGGCCGGGACAAGGCATCACAGTATGGTAAGGGGAATAACATTTCCCATAACACGCTTGAGGTATTCGGCCAATCACAACGCACTGGATAGCTGGCCAATCAGAGCACACCTCGCTTTTCAGACCGATGAGCTTTGTAAAAATCGACGCGTTTCAGAAAGGCGGGGCATAGCGGAGAAACAATAATGTACAGTATGTGGAAAATAATGTGTTTTTTTTTTACCTTAAACCGCATAAACACATTTCATTACACCAAATACATAAAATAATGATCTTTTTAGCAACATCATATGACCCCTTTAAATAAAATCCAGTAGAAACGACAGAAATGATTTAGGTAGATTAAGCTGATGTAAACAAAGATAATGTTATACTACAAACATTTTACAGTGCTCCAGTTCCCATAGCTGCGGCTGTCAACTGACAGTTTTCACTGGAGCTTCATTCTTCCCGGCACAACTTCCAAAACGTTTACAACATTATTCGAAGACGAAAATAAGATTCCATTTTAGAAGCCGTGGGGGGGGGGATAACTAGAAGTAGGATAACTACTTCTCAACACTTTAATGAAAGCGCGTCCGCACCTGTACAAGACATGCAAAAACAGAACTCTTACCTCACTCCATACGAGTGTAATCTCTTCAAATTCACAATGTAAAGCTTTCAAATTGCTTGTACAAAATATCCTGACTGACTCACGGCCGGTACATCCGTGTGCGTGACTTGCACTTGTACAATGCCGACTGTTTTGAACGGACATGGGGGTTGTGGATGCGCCACGGGTGCTCACTCTCTCTTCAACGCCGTGTGTGATGATGGCCCTGCCCCCCAACGCGTGCATTAACCAATCCTACTACGGTGAAGGTTTGGGTTATGAATATTAAGTAGGCTACTTGACTTGACACCGCAGAAAAGGTAACCAAGTGACGTCAGCATGACTTAATTACTATTCAAGAGCTAAACCTTCATCATAGTAGGACTTACTAAGAGCTTTATACTATTTATTTTTAAAAAGTATACTCCTTATAAACAGGTTTTGGTAAGTGGCATTACATGACAATAAATATGTACATTTTAATGTCGTTTAAAACACAAATTATTATTTTCAGAATTGCAGAACTAAAAAGGTGTCATACATTAAACAATATGTAAAGAACAGAAAGGTTATTAGGTTTTATTCTATTACATGCTATTTTAGGATCATGCCAGTGATATAGACCACAGCTGAAAGTAACCTATCTGTTTAAGCCAGCCAGATATGATACATGTTAAATAATAAAAATCATGTTAATATGCTTGTAAAACAGGATATACAACCATATCACTCTTAAATCCTAAATCATCTAACACCTACTGTGCCTGGTCGGTACAGATAAAAAAGACATGTCAAGAAGTGTCACTCCTAAAGTCACACAGGATCAGTTTACTGAAAGTGCCCCTGGCAATTGAACAGGAAATGGAGAGGAAGTCAATCAATGTGCCCACCCTTCCTATCTGTTCTCCAACAGGTTGGACTGAGTCCAAGGATCACAGACAGATTTCTACCAGAAAACCCACCAGAGGATAAGAGTCTTTGCTTCAACCATATACAAATAGAGTACCACCTACTGGCTGATCAGTGACAATCTGGTATGTGATGTTTAATGAGCCTAAAAAATATTGTGTATGAGTCATGCCATTCATTATTCTTGTGAATCCTTGGCATAATTGAGATATTAAACAGAAAGCATAATTCTAGTGGGTAACAACATTATTTAGTGTCACAACATGATTAAACGAAACAGTCAAAATACACTGTGGTGCCATGTTTATAATGAATGAATTAATTAATTAATTAAGTTTTTTTGGAGGACAATTGTGTAAATGTGTCTGTCCAAGCTTTGTTCATTTTTCTGCTTCTCTGTGAACCTCTGGTTGATTTCTCTGTCTAATCTTACCTGAAAAAAATATATATATATACAATAACAAGTGTGATTTAATTCTCACTCAATGCTGTGATTCTTTTAAGGCAAACAAAAAGACAATGAAATAACAAAAAATAATGAATCATACAAAATATCTGCCTATTTTTTGTTTTATCCAGTTGTATTTACTCAGTGCAACTCATAACATCCAAGTGAAAGATATAACACCAACATGTCATAAAAAAATCAGAATCACTGAGTTGGAAAAAAGATCACCCCCCTCCTAAAAATAACTTGTAAACACAATCCGGTGTAGCTAATCACCTTCTCAGTGGCACACAAACCCATTTGGCTTTTAACTGTGATCAGCTGTGGTCATTTTGATTAGTTCAGCATGAAAAGAGTTTTCCTGGAGCATTTCAGGTCTTGGTTGTGCAACTGAAGCAAACAATCAACTATGGGTGGCAAGGCACTGTCAAAAGATGTCCGGGATAAAGCTGTGGTCAGGCACAAATCAGGAGAGAAAAAAAAAGGCAAAGGCTTTGTCAATGCCTAGAAGCACAGTGAAGTCTATTATTAAGAAGGTATTTGGTGCAACACAGACCCTCCCTGGATCAGGACGTCGCTCCAAACTGGATGAAAAACCAAGAAAGAAACTGGTCAGAGAGGCTCCCAAGAGGCCTACAGCGACTCTGAAGCAGTTGCAGGAATTTATGACAAAGAGTGGTTATTGTGTGCATGTGACAGTAATATCACAAATTCTCCACAAATGTGGCTTGTATGAGAGGGTTGCAAGAAAAAAGTCACTCCTCGAGAAAGGTCACGTTCAGTCACGACTGAGCTTTGCCAAAACGCACCTTGAAGATTCGGAGGCAGATGAGACTACAATTGAATTATTTGGCCTCAACACTAAACAAAATATCTGGCGAAAATCCAATACAGCTCAACAGCCAAATAACCGCATTCCTACAGTAAAGCATGGAGGTGGTAATATCCTGTTTATGGGGTGTTTCTCTGCAGCAGAATTCTTGAGGAAAATCTGTTGCCCTCTGCCAGAAAGTTGTCAATGGGAAGAAGGTTTCCCTTCCAACATGACAGTGACCCAAAGCACCCAGTGGTCGAAGGAGAAAAAGCTGAACGTCCTTGCATGACCTAGTCAGAGCCCAGACTTAAACACCACTGAAAATCTGTGGAATGACTTGAAGACCACAAACACTCACCATCAGATTGAACTGAACTTGAGCAGTTCAGCAAAGAAGAGTGGGCAAATATTGCAAAGTCTAGATGTGCAAAGTTAGTAGAGACAGACACATATCCCAACAGACTAAAGCTGTAATTAAAGCAAAGGATGGTTCAACAAAAGATGATTCAACAAAATAATTTTTCAACTCAGTGATTCGGTTTTGGGTTTATATATATATATATAAATATATATATATATATATATATATATATATATGTTCAGACATCTTTCACTTGGATGTTATAAGTTGTACGGAGTAAATACAGCTGGATAAAACAAAAACGGTGTCCGTTTTCATTTCAAGCCGCAAAGCAACAAAATGTGATTATTTTAAAGGGGGGCGATTCTTTTCTATACCCATTGTATAGTGTGAGTTTCCGTAATATCAGAGTTTAGACTGCCATCTTCTGGACATCACTGCACACTGCATCCGTAGCACTGAGTGTAGCCATTAGAAGACGAGAAGACATGACGCATTTTAAACTGCAAACAGGCATACTACTCTTACTATTTTTTTTATCATTTCTTTTTAAACCAGAAATAGTGTGAGTGGTATGCTGTTCTGAATTAGTCAATAGTAAACTTTAGCCCATAACCATCCCAAAGGGTATAATCACAAAAAAGATTTTGTTTTATTAAATACTGATGAAGCAACACAATTTTGTGTGACAGAAGATGCAAATAGAAGTAAATATAAAGGCAGTAAGGGGAACCTTTACCATACAAATGTCCCATTCTTGCATTTATTCCCTCAAACGACTTTCTTTGGGATTCTACAGGATTCTGCTACTTTAATTCAGACAAACATCTCATGAATCTAGTTAACTAAGCATATATAATTGACTGTAGCCTAGTCAGTAAGACCTTAGGTGGTGACATATGTGACTACAATCACAAATAAGAAGAGAGTGAAGGTATGAACAGTTAAAAGAATGTAGTTTGATTTATAAAATTAAAATAGGCCATGTTTTGATTGGTGATACAATTTTGGCCTCACTTGAAAATTAATAGTCAACATTAATGTAACCGGACAGTCACTGCATGAGGTGGAAGGGAAGAAATCTCCCACCCAGCAAACCACCATCCTTCCTGTGGACTGGAGCTGGGCTGTGACCCAAAAAGTGCCTTATGAGCAAATGCACAAACAACACCAACAAACAAACAAAAAACAACAACAACAGTCCCCCTTCCTCCATCACAATATCTGTCTGTCTGACTCCCTCACTCTATGAGAGAGGTGGGATCACGTCATGGTCCACATCCTTGCTGTGAAGAACAGCAGGAGAACTGAGAAAAGACAGGCCACAAAAGCTCCAGCACGACTTCTGAATAAAGGAGAAATCCTATTGACCGGAAGAACATGCAAGGCTGTTCAGCAGTGTCTCACGTTATCGGCCTATATTCAGCAGGCAACTCTCCCACTGCTGCCCCTCTTTGGCTCCTGATTTAGTCACACCACCAGCCCCGAATGACAGATCCCCAATCTTCCATCAGCCTTCTACATGTTCTCACAACCCAGAACACACAGAGACGGCTAAAAGAAAGGCGTTGGCAAAAAAAAGAGAGAAATGTACAGTGTGAAAGCCAGTCAGTTCTTAAACAGCCATATCTTCTATTTATTTACGATTGATAATATAAGACAAAATAACAGTTTACTCTGATAAAATACAACAAAATAATACTAATATGGCCAAACTGGCAAGTTCACAGCCAATTTTATGTTGTATATATGCAAAAAGAAATAGAAACAGTCTGTATACTGTTGTGGTGTGTATTCTTTGGGAGTTGTTTGTTGTAAATGTGTATCTGAAAGTGTACAAGTTTAGGCCTAAGTCCAAATTTGACCCAGGTGTCCAAAAACATGATCTCTGGGAACACAAGAGTCCTCTCATTCCGTGTAACCACAACTGTACTCTCAGTGCCTTTCAGTCAGGCAACGATCTCTCGCTCTGGCTGGCCTGAGTCCTCCATTGGCACAGCAGTGAGTACATTTATCAAACTACATTTCACAGCACTTCCTTCAAAGTTTTCAACTACCTAACTAAACTGGAGAACTAAAAAGAAGAAATCTCTGGATCAGTGAAAATAGGAGATCATTTTCCACTATAACACATAAATATCATATTTTAATGAAACATTTTGTTTCCTGCTTTTGCTTGTTGAAAATGAAACACTTTCAAGTCACACATTTGCTAATGTTATTTTTTTTAATGACTATTTTATTAATTTTTAAAGTGATGTCAGAATATGATGCCACTTTTATTGTCCCAAATGTTAAAAAAAGTCACAATTAAGATATAAAAACTAAAATGTAGGACATAAAAAAATCTAACTTTGATTAGGATGTGAGAACATCTATTCATATTTATGTGTTACATTTTAATCTTTTACTTTTGTGATCTCTTTTTTTGTTTAATATTTCTGTCATCATGATGTGACTTACTAAAGCCATTCTGTCTTTTACCAGTTCACAAGTACATCACACTTAATGATTTTAAGTCATACTTTTTAATGTCATAATGTTGAATTATAATAATTTTTTTTGTATGTCATCATTTCTTCTATCTCATAATTATTACTTTTTATGACATGATTTGGACTTTTTATCTCATAATTGACTTGTAATAACATTTTTCTCACAA